TGCTCCTGGCTTATGTATCAGTGTCTGCAAGAAAGGATTTGACCATCAACTTGCTTTTGTCACTTTGGGTTTGTTTTTTTCCCCCCACTTGGGCTTCCTCAGCTGCATTGCTTACATTTTGCTGACAGCTTTAACTTTCATTTGTCATTTAGCTGTGCATGAGGATTCAGAAGATGCACACAGATTGTAGTCCTTGCTTGATTTATGGCAACTTCTGCAGGCATCCAGGTGCTCCAGCAAGCAGTGCCGACGTACGGAGATCACTACATTCCAGCAGACTCCAGCAACCACCTCTGGAGTGACACATGGCTGGCGTTAGTACAGCACCAGCAGTTGGAGAGATGAGATTTTAAATTGTCTGTCTTTTGGGTAGGATCTATCTTAAGTCACCATGGGATGTATTTTGAAGTTATGTCAGGGTCAACTAAAGCATGTAGGTGGTTTTGCACATATGTCTATCAATCAGTGAGCACCTTTCTAGAAGAATTGGCAGCGGACTTTATGTAGGGATCTTAATGTCATTCATTACTGTGGCCAAGGCACAACATGACCCAGATTCCCACATTCATAGAAGTGGAGAGTGCTCTGATCTGACACCTCCAATTTCGAGATATTCTGCTTTAGCTCAAGCTGCCAATTCCATCTGCAAGCTGCTGGGTTTGGGCCCATATCTGAGCAAGATTCAAGGCATAACACATGCTACTTCTGACGGGGGATGGGGGCTGATTGTGTATGAAGGTCATTTGAAAGAGAGGAGCTGATCTCCCAGCACATAAATCTTCATATAGTGGATTGGATACAAATGCGGGCATTCCCCTCAACCTGCTCAAAATCCCCTTACTTCTTCATGTTAACTACATCAAAGTTGCATAAATGGAAAACCTTTGAAAGTATTTAATATCTCTAAAAAGATGGAGCAGCAGATAGCATGTATTCCAGCAGCTCTTGAAGACAATCTCCAGACACAAACTTTTGCTCTGACCTTGCATTAGAGGAAGAGGTACTGGTACTGCCGAATCAATAGCCTCCTTTTTGCTTATGCTTCATTTTCACCCATGACCAGAGCTGATCTGACCTCCGTCCTCAGGTCTTTTGACCCACCAAATTGAATTGCTTTTTTTTAAAATTTTTTTTCTAGACAGCCCCCAAAAGCATTGGATTGGTACTTTACTGATGCAAATGCAGAAGCAAGCAGATAATTCAGTTTGATCTGGTCACAGACTGAGTTATGGCTGGAGGCTACCTATGAATCACTTTTAGCATAAAAAAATATTCTCAAGAAACCCAGCAGCTTCTAACTGCTAATAACTTGAAATTCCGTGTGAAAACTTGTCCCAGGCAACTCAACATTTCCCTCAAACACTCAATTTACAGTTTAAAAAGAATCTTCCTTGTGTATGTTTATTTCTGCCTATTGAACCCCAAATATTTTAGTAAAACACCACTGGCAAGAAAGTCCATAGAAACAACCAGTATCTGGAATAATTTCTGGAAAATTAATTTTGCAGTCATACATTCAGTACTAGAAGAAAGTTTGCTCCATCAGGATGCAAATTATCAAGGCTCTAGTATATGTCCAGCTCCAAGCTGGACACTCAATACACTTAGGCTGGGGCCACAAAAGCCTTGACGCAGGGACAGTCTTCAGGTGGAATTTGGATGTGTTAAGGGGACGATGCAATTGCTGCAATGGAAAAGAGCAGGACATCCCCCTTGGACCTATAGGTACCATGTACAGACCCACTAGCAGGAAACAGAATACCCTTTGGACGCTCCTCCCTTTAACACCCACATAAGACAAGTTCATTTTCAGTTCAGCGCCCAAAGGCAACAGTCAGGCTGAAATCCCAGGTTCCCTCCTCCTACGCAACGCTTCTTGCTGCTGCTTATGCTGCAATCTCCTTCAGGCTTGCAGCTTGTATATACATCACAGGCTCTGCCCAGTACTGCTGATCACAACAGTGATATCTAATTCAACAATGAGAGCTTTTTTTTTTTTTAATTTGTGTGAATTTCCTTTGGTGCTTAAATAACAGAAAAACAGCAAAACAAAATGAGGGTCTCATCTGAATTATTCAGGAGAATACAGTAAGCTATTCTAGGGTGTCAGATACAGTTGTAATTAGGTGCTTTTAGAAGTATAATATCTATTTTTATCTGTTATTTATTGTGCATACTATATTTATTGTGCTGAACATGTTATGCCCCTGATAGACAACTGCAGATTTCTTGGTACATTATTGCCTAGGTGCTGTTGCTACACCCATTTTTGAGATTCAGAGACAAACCAATTGGATTCTGACATTTATTTATCTTCTTAGAGCGAATCTTTTTGTCTGGTAGATATGTAGGACTCCTAAAGAGATGTTACACTGTGTCATGCTAATCCTCCTTAGTTCATGGATTACTGACCTAATGCACAATGACAGTCCTTTCAGAGCCATCGTCTTGCACCGCGGTAATCTGCTGTCACACATGCATGCTGAAGTGCATGACCTCTGCACATCAAACCCATGGTGTCCTCCCTACGAGAACCCCCAAGAACAAACTGTCCCTGTGCAAAGGCACCCTCAAATGGTACCTACTGCTGAGACAGCTCAGAAAGCCCTTATTGCCTGTAGAAGGATGCGTTTCACTCCGGGAGAACACCACCCTTTCCCTAAAGGCTCTCAAAAACCCATGAGGTTTTCAGGAGAAGAAATTCAGGCCAGCTGCTAGCTCTGTCTTGGGGCAATGCAGATGCACCAGAAAGTGGAGGTTTGCCCCTCCCTGGGCTGTACAGAGCTATTCTCAAGGCTGTGTTAGCCCCAAAAGCTGAAAGGCAGAGCCACAAGTTCACTTCCCCGCTCCAGTTTCCCATCTGTCATGCCCACTCACCCCTGCCCACGTAAAAAAGAAGCATCAGAACAAGGCAATAATTCTTTTCCCTTCCCAAACACCTAGAAAATTAGTATGAGTCAAAGCTCTAACTACCTAGCAGCATGAATGCAAACACACCAGAGCTTCCTGGTAGATACCAAGCACCAACTCCACAGCTTGTTTAATTAATCAGCCCTTCCACTTCTTGAAATAACCCCCAGATCAATCCCGTGCCCTCATCTCCTCCGGCCACACAAAGGACCTGAACTCAGCTGTTGCTATGCATTGCCTGAGCACCCTGCGGTGTATTTAGGCTTGCACTGCTCAGGTGTGGTTAATTCACTCCAATTTCTCATCAGAGCACAGAGGAAAGAAAACCTCTCCCAGCTTCTCAGCTAATATCTCCCTCCTTCCAAGATGCTCGCATGTCTCATCCCAAAGAATAGCCTCCCCTTCAGCTTCTCTGTATGTCTAATTTAGGACTGGTGACAAGAAGAATTTTTGTAGGTCTAGAAAGCTGTAGCACAGAGCTTGCAAGGGGAAGCATTAAAGTTCAGGAAAGGAAAGAAACTGGAGACCCTACAGAGCTGGTTACAATATGGCAAGGATGAGTGACCTTTAGTTAATTATTCTATAGAAACACTACTAATTCTGCTTATAGAAATGCAGAACTGGGTTCATAACAGTAAGTTTATATCCCTGACAGCACCAGGCAGCCTTCTGCAGAAACCTTCAGCTTGAACCACCCTACCAGAGGCTCCTGACCTACAACCCAGCTTCTAAAGAACAAAGACCATTGCTATATCTGCTCCTCTATGAGCTAAGAGGCTGCCAAGTGCTGCTTTCCAAAAGAAAACCAGGTTTGCAGAGCCTCTGGCTGACCTGACCCCAGAAGCAGAAAGCAGAGCTGTGCCAGGGAGGTGATTTTATAGCTCCTGTCCGCTGTCCCGGCACAATCTCATAGTGAGAAAAAGCTGCACCTGCAGGGAAACCACAGCCAGGCATTGAGGATAAAGTAATGGGGAGTGAGAGCTGTAGTGCAAGCACCACCTTAACAGAGAACATCCTTGCTACCACAGGTGGGTCTTGGAAAGTGAAAAAAAAGCCACAGGGTAACAGAAATTTTCCAAGTTCATGGACAGTTGTATAATCTGAGATGTTCTGTTGTCTTTGTATGCCATGTATGTGAGAGTCATGGGAATTTGAAATGGGCAGTAAAATAGTAAAAGACATATTTTTAGTGATGATATATCAACCTAAGAAGTGAATGAGACTATATAGCAGCTCTTTCTGTCATTCATAATTTTAATATGCTGAAATGCTTACATTTTAGTCTATCTGGCTACAAGCTTTTAAAGTATATGTTTATAAATCCCTGAGAAGAGACATAAAATGAAACAAATGACAGCTTTGAATTATAGTTGTGATGAATATTGTCATAATAAATTCTCTCCTCGCCCGAAAGAGCAATGAGGGATGCCTTCTGTACCACACCATGTTTTCACAAGTCAAATACAGCCACTTGTTCAATTTTTAGCTTGCTTTTGGGCTGAAAGTCTCCACACATATTACATGAACTCAGCTGTACATGATTCAAAATTTTTTGGTTGAGGATATCATGTTTCTAGATAATTTAGGCTGAGATTTTCTGGGTTGTGCAAGGGCTTTTGCTACCCAAGTCAGAGGAACTGATGTATCTCAATCCTCTGGGCAGTGTGTCAAGCCATAATCTTTTAGAGGTGTTGCTCTACAACTTGTTTCTACAGCTATAATTGCAAGAAGAAGGGATGCTGAAACAATAGTCAAAACAATGCTTTCATATGAAAGATTAGCCATTTTCGACACCATGGTCCTTATCGGAGTTTTAATGTGTATTAATCACCAATTCCCTACTTTAGCTTGACTTGCTGTTGCTACAAAAGGGGATGACAATTTAAACAACTACTTCTGGAAAGCCATTTTCGACACCATGGTCCTTATCGGAGTTTTAATGTGTATTAATCACCAATTCCCTACTTTAGCTTGACTTGCTGTTGCTACAAAAGGGGATGACAATTTAAACAACTACTTGGCTATTGTACACAGCTTTGCTCTGAACAAGATTTCCAGTGAAAAATGAATCCATTTAGACACGATGGCTACACATTTTGCCATATCTTTATTGCACTTTTACCACGTTGCAAACAATTCCACAAAAATGCTGCAAAAGTAAGCCTAGAGCTGCTGAAAGCAGCTTTTTACCCATATATGTATATATTTACACAAAACTATCAAAAGCAAAGTTGAAAAGTAGCAGCTCGGCTATGATAGTCTAGAAAGATAAGAGCTGCCACCTTCTTATGGACAAATAGTACAACTTGTCATTTTACATCACTTTGTAAAACCAACATTCAAGTATTCCTGTCAACGCACAACTAGTGAAATTCTCTTCCGTTATCCACTGTATTTATTATTATTTTAATAATTATGATTTTTTGCCTTTAAAAGTTCAAAATGCCTTAACCCTTTAAATGCCGAGTAGCTGGGGAAAAAAAGCATTCAATTTAAATAAGATACAGTGGATTAGAGCACTTAAAGGGTTAACACAAAATACTAAGTGGACTGTCACCACAAATAAAGTGTGAGTCACAAAACTATGCCCTCTTAGTTCAATTTGGTAGGTAGGTCTGGGGTTTCATAGATATACCATATATAAATACAAAATATTAAGTAAAGGCCTCCTTTCTATACAAAAAGGACAGGAGGTGTTTTGCTATCAGACTGTTGTCTGTCAATGATCTGAGTATTTTCTGAATCTTTTCATAATCTCTCTTTAGGAACTAATGAAAAGCATCACATTAGACTTATTTTTCTTAATGAACTAAGCCTTTGCAGAGTCTACACTTTACCTACTTTGGGAACAATTATATCTCATTTCTGAATTCACTGAATTCACAAAGTGGCACATACAGTCTTTTGCAAGACTTTTTTTTTTTTTCTTTTCCTCTTTGAATCTTCTTTACTTGGCTGGTAAAAACGTAGTCTTGCGATTTCACTACCTCTCGGTCGTAACAGTGTTAACATCAGTGTTAAAGTCATTTTCAACCACATTGTCATAACCATCCTTTTCTATACAGTCACTAACAGCCTTGAGGACAATCCGCAGCCGCCTGTCCATCGCCTCCAAGTGAGGCTGGTAGAGAATGGGAGCTATTTTATCTTTTAGTAAAGATTCCTTCATCAAGAGACTGAGTTTGTATTCCTCCTTGGCTAACAACTGTAATCGCAGATAGGTAGACTTCCTTATTCTAAGAGAAAAAGGAGAAAAAAAATGCAAATCAGTATTTTCATCACTATTGATCCTGATGGGGCTAAAAGGCTTATAGTCAGCATAGCGATAACAGCGTAAAAACCTCATTATGTGATCTGAAATGATGAGAAACAGGCACTGTCACAGTCCTAATGAGCAGCTGGCATTGTCAGCTGGCCAGTGATCTTTGGGAGCCCTTAAAGGTGGAGAGGTTTTGGAGCACAGCTCTACAGTCAAGTGCAGACAGCCTTCATGTTCCTCGGCTGGGTAAGGCACCGGCTGGATCTGGTGCAGCATTCATGGGGTCACGTCAATCCTGGCACTGACACGCGTGATGCTTGTGGCATTGAGCTGGGATGTTGGTGGTGGCAGCGGAGGCTCCCGCTAGCTCACCCTGCAGGGATGCCCAGAGCCTCCGCAGACACAGAGCTCACATTGTGTCCCAGCCGTGCAAACCTGAAACTCTAAATGTCACCTGTCCTCTCCGAAAATCCTGGCCATGGGCACTGTGGAAAGCCGTCGTGAAACACTTGAACAAGCTGGGGGAAGTTTTGCCACTTGACATCCATGGGATGTGTATTTTGTCTTAATAAAGCCTCTCTGACAACAGCTCACAGCCATGCTCCTGCAAGGTCCTGATCTCAACAAAGCACTTAACGTGTTAGTGCCAACGGTCAGGGCTAGCTCGGGTCAGGCTCCCTGGGCAGGATCACAACATCTCCTCCTCTCCATGGTATGCAATACAAGATTCGCTTGAACATTTCAGTCCTGTTAGTGGAAACAACTGTACAAAATGGGAAACAGCTCCGGAGGTGAAACGTACCTGCAGCACTGGTTTAAAGGCACCAATATGGAAAGTTCGTCATGGGAATATTTTCCAAACCTAAAGATAAGAGCAAGAACATGACAAAGGCTGTTTTAAAGACTTAACTTTTTTCTTTTTTTTTCCCCAGCAAGATTATTAAAGGTATTTACCCTCTTCCATTATCTAAGTGGATAATAAATGTTTCATTTCCAAACTTCTCAAAGGTTTCGTAGTGATGTCGATCCATGTTACCTATGGAATAAAGAGAAAAAAAAGACCGTTCTCACTCTGGCTTGCTGCTGAGCCTGCAGGTCAGGGCAATACAAAAGCTACGGTTCAGCGAGAAGCCCAGTGCTCCCCAAACATGACGGCTGTGTAGGGCGGAGAAAGCAATGGGTCTACTGAGCTCATTTGCTTCTACTGTGGAAAGCCCAAAGTGTGCGGTACTGGAAGATGGGCTGTTGTGCCTCTGGGAGCTTTCCAAGCTCTCTGTAGCTTTTACACTTAAGCTCTAGAGGACCCATTGGGAGACAAAATGAACCTTCCCACCCTCCAGCAACCCCTCCTAGGGTGCGCCAAGGAAATCCCTCTCACATAAAATGGCATCTCAACTGCTCTGTGTCCTGGTTTTGACTGGGATAGAGTTAATTTTCTTCCTGGTAGCTGGTACAGTGCTGTGTTTTGGATTTAGGATGAGAATAATGTTGATAACACACCGATGTTTTAGTCATTGCTGAGCAGTGCTTACACTAGTCAAGGACTTGTCAGCTTCCCATGCTCTACCGACTGAGAAGGCTGGAGGTGCACAAGGAGCTGGGAGGG